TCCCTACTACTCAGCGTGGTACTCAGGTGTCCTGGATTCCCGCAGAGCTCCGCTTGGCGGGGCACGTGTTCATCCGGCACGATGCGCACAGAGGCCCCCTGCAGCCCCCTTTCCGGGTCTTGGAGCACGGGGACAAGCACCTGGTGGTCGACCTGGGTGGCAAGGCCGAGCACGTCTCGGTGGACCGGGTGAAGGCTGCTCACCTGGACTTAGACCAGCCGGTGGTGCTGGCTCGACCTCCGCGACGGGGCCGCCCCCCGGCCTCGACCCCGGTCACAGATTTAAGACCTGTTGTTCCGGTCCCTCACCTTCCGGAGGCCGCACAGGCGGAAGTCACTTTTCCGGACTCCCGTGCTCAGGAGTCGTGGGGGTCGGCGTATCGTTCCTCCCCGCCATGCTGATTTTGTTTATGTGTGAATTCTGGGGGTGCTTGTGTGGTGACACGTTATTGGACATAATTCACCTTCAGGCTTGTGTTACAACACGGACCCGTTAGAGTGGGACACCGGAAGTTAGATTCATGCAGGCTAGCATGACATGCAGCAGCAAGTGTATTCCAGTCTTGTGTTTGAATTAGGGCCGGGACTCGATTAAAAAAATTAATCTAATTAATTAGAGGCTTTGTAATTAATTAATCGAAATTAATCGCATTTTTAATCACATATACATATTTGACCTGAGAACAGTGAGAAGCAATTTTTTTCACATGGATTTTAGTATACCATTAGGCGCATTCACACCGCAGTACTTTTCCCACAAAGGTTCATGAGAACTCTTTGAACCTGGGGGAGGATTAGGCAAATGAAGCCGCTGACGTCACTTCTTCTTCTTCTGCTTTGGGTTTACTGGCAGGCCGCAAACCACTTCACGGCGTATACTGCCGCCCAAAGTCCCCGGAGTTGGGGACTGGCTTCAGTAGAAGCTGCTGGGAGTCCCAGCAGCTTCTACTGAAGCCTTCCGAGTAAATTGCCAGAACGCCGACACCTCCTCATCTCCACCGCTCCCATGTTTTATTTTGTGTTGCCATAAGTTAGTCTCTCTGCGTTTCTGCGTTGGGCTAATGCTAATAATGCTAATGCGAGGATAATAAAATGGCGGCTTCACAAAACTTTTTGGGAGTTTTACGGGGTGTGGTTTGCAATCCGCCCAGCCAATCAGACATATAGCTCTTTTCTCACAAGAGAGCCGTACGAAAGTCCCTGCTCTCTAGCAGCTCTCTGCTCTCTAGCAGGGACTTTCGTGGGGGTAAAAAGGTTCTCATGAACTAATTTTAGTACCGGCTCTTTTTGGTGTGAACGCGATAAAAGAGGCTAACGTCCACGCTAGCTTCCACGCTAGCTGCTATATGTTTTGCATTGAGGTGATACTTGAGGCTTGATGTGCTGCGGTGTTATGCGAATTCCTTTTTGCATAATTTGCACACAACCGTGCTCTTATCGACGCTTCCATCCGTCCGTTTTTTAAAACAACATTTCCCACTGTTGTTCACTGTGGTTTGTTGTTGTCTGAAGTCATGAACGTTAGTTGGTGCTCCAGTATAATCGGTACGCCTGAAACTCATCCAGTGAGAAACGTTCCGCGGTGCAAAAATAAGTGCGATTAAAATGCGTTAATTTTTTTAACGCGTTAATTTTTGTGTAATTAATTCATCTTAATTAACGCGTTAAAGTCCCGGCCCTAGTTTGAATGTATAATAATGTGTGGAGTTCCATACTGAACACACCGCCTCCGACTCCCATTCATCGGCTCTACAATATATACAAAATAATGTATAATACATCATTTCCTGTGCATTGGATTATTATCGGATAGGGTAATAACTTCATAATTAACTACGTCTGAAAGCAGAAGTTTAGGGTAAATAATTGCAAGTCTCTTCAGTGCGCATGTCACAAAACAAGATGCATTGTGGGACATGTAGTTCATGGGCAACGTGCTCCTGTAAAGTGAAGTGTAACCGTATAATAAACGTATTATATTCTTTGCATGCTCTTGCGGGCCACATTAAATGAAGTCGCGGACCGGATTTGGCCCCCGGGCCTTGAGTTTGACACCCCTGCTCCAAGTCATGGGGTGGTATTCCTTCCGATGTTATCTGTGCCGGCGGTTATGGCAGCCACAAAGGCTTCTGTCAGGTATGATTTCACTTTGTTGATGTAAAATGTAAGCTAGTATAAAAATGCTTTAAAAATCTTAAATAAAATAATGAATAATATTCCTTGTTGACAGGGTGATTATGGTGGTCCTCTGGTGTGTGACGGGATAGCTGTTGGTGTTGTGTCTTTCAACAACAACAAAATCTGTACCCAAATTATCCCAACGTCTACACAGAGATCTCCAAATACCTTGGCTGGATCAACAGTTAAAAAGCTTAATATTATGCAATATCATAAAGCTTTGCTTCAGCACACTTTGAATGTATTTAGGAGGGGAGGCTGTGTCTCAGCTGCTCTGTCAGTGTTCGCTCAATGTTGTTTTCTCTTTTCTTTATCCGAACACATGAGGTTTGAATCACTTATAGGAAAACGTTTTACTTCAGCAAACATTCATTGTAATATGGAGGCTTTGTGGTGTCACAGATTGGTCTATCAAGGTTTATTTCATCAGTATACATTCATTTTGTATGTTTAAATAATCATAATGAGATCCTGCACTTGGAGAGGTTGAGCATGTGACGTCACCATAGTTTCAATGTCGGATTAACAGTATCAGAAATCTAACTCAGCTGAAATTGTTTTACATGCTTTTATTACTAGTCGCTTGGACTACTGCAATTCTCGTGGTCTCCAAAAAAAATCTTTAAAGAAATTGCAATTAATTCAGAATGCTGCGGCCAGGATTTTAACAAACACAGAAAAAAGGGATCGCATTTTCCCTGTGCTGGCATCACTGCACTGGTTACCGGTGTCTTTCCGAGTTGATTTTAAAATGCTTTTAATTATTTACAAGGCTTTACATAACCTGGGCCCTACACACATCAGGGACTGCCTTTCTTTTTATAACCCAACAAGGACACGCGGATCCTCCGATGCATTTCTTTTAGAAGTACCTAAAGTAATACACAATACATCTGGGGAGGCTGCTTTATGTTTTTCCCATTGGATCTTAGAACAGCAAACTCCATTAGAGTTTTTAAAAGTAAATTGAAGACCTATCTTTTAATTTGGAGTAATTTTAGAGGTATAACAGTTTATGTTGTATTGTTTTATGGTTCTGTGATATAACTCTTTCTTGTTTGTTTATAACTTGTTTTTAATTATGTTCCTCCTTTTTATTTTGTATCTGTAAAGCACCTTAGGCTGCATCTTGCATTAAAGGTTCTATAATAATAATAATAATAATAATAATAATGCATTTTATTTTAAGATTGCTTATCTAGAAACTCAAATACACAGTAAAGCAATAGGGTTTTATGCAAATGTATTATCTTGGCATGATAAAAAAAAAGGTATCCATTGAGCTGTAGGGGAGAAGAGAGGGGAGGCAATCTTACTTCTCAGTACAGCAACCGTACCTAATGTGAAAGGCACAAAGGTTCATCAACATATATTTCAATATATTATCATAAGTTAAACTGTTCATTATGTAGACACTCCATTCTAAAATATTGTATATATCATCAATATTTGATTTGAACTATAGCCTTTTTGTATTTGTTTATTCCACTTATGGCAATTATTATAAAACAAAACATGTACTCTTTACACAGTTTTTGTAGGCCATGATGGAAAGGAGCAGGGAGAAAATAAATCTAAATGTTTTCAATCAACTTGTTGACGATGGTAAAGGTGGCGAATACATTTTTAAGAACAAACAATAAAAAGGTCAGATTAAAGTAGTACTAGTCTCTTATTGCTCTCTTATTGTCGTTTGAGGTGCAGAGAATGTGACCAGCAACAACACCAGACAGTGTCAAGGGTTTGCATGAGGCCTTTAGTATCCAGTCAAAATGTGTTTTATAGCACCGATACATCTGTAGCTGTTAAACAATGATAAAATCATTGAGCTCTAGTTTCATAACTGCTAGTGTGGGAACGTCACTACTCAAATCTTTAGTTGGAAACTGTGGTGTCTGTGGTTCATCTAGATTGACACGCTATGCAAAGAAATGTATGGGTTGTATCAGATAAATCAGCAAATTTGTTTTCTCTTTGGCTGAATGTCCAAAAAGTATGAATTAATTAAAAAAAAATCGCGTGAATAAAAATGTCAGATACAGAATGAAGTTAGATTATAGCAGATAAAAGAAATTCAACCTATTGATTTAAACAAACAAAAAAAGCTGTTTTTATGCAAACAAATTACACTTCAAAAGAGTGAAAGCTCCTAAGAACGTATCTAATCTATAATACATTTTGGTAAGACACTGACTAATGAGCCACAATGCTCTTTTAGATTATTTGTCAGTCAGCGTTGACATGTTTTCACAGAATGATCTTCACACTTGACTGTGATAATAATACTGACACTCAGACTTTGAGATGGAAACTGGTTACAGTAACTCGTTTTATTTATGGTGCAACATCGCAGTAATAAAAAGACAACAGCCCAAATGTGAAAGCTGAAATGTAGATCCATACCAAACAATTTTGATTATTTTTCACATATTTCATCCAACTTAATGTGACTAAAGGTTATTTAGCCACATTAAGGATAAGTATTATCCAAACAGTGACAAGAATATCCCAGAATTTTCAGAAAAAACACGATACTTGATATTTAAATAGATACAAAAGGATCACTTCAAGCAAATTACATCAAATGTTGTAGAGAATAAATTGTTGACCATGTGAAAACTCAGCCACGCTGTTCACATAATTCATGTGCTTCAGGCTGTGGAGGCCGCAGAACCACAGGCCTTATAGATACTGAAACATCTACAACACTTCATGAGTTGTCATTTCTTTACTACCACATGCACTCATCACTTTAACACAATTAAAGTTTGCACAGAGTCGCTGACTGAGGGAACTGGTTTATCAAAGGGTCGACACGACACCCAAAGACAACAGGTTCAGTTTGCTGCAACTTCTTACAACTCTTGCACTTCATGGTAAGATTCCCACATGTCTCTTTACTACAAATGCAGTATTAACTCATCCTTCTTTTCAGCACTTGGTAGTGAAATCATAAATGGTGAAAAGGTCCCGGAGAACAAAATGCAGTTTATGGCCTCGGTTCAGAACAGCAGAAACAAACATATCTGTGGAGGATTCCTCATCAATTATGACTTTGTGGTCACTGGGCACGTCACTGTACCCAGCAAGAAAAAAATGGAAAAAGAAAAATCTCCAACGAGGCGTTCTGGGGCAGCCTAGACAGGTCTTTTCTGTGTTAGAGTTTTACTCGCTACAGGGTGTACTTTGAGGGTTTGTGACTTTGCAGACGGTTTACATGCATAAAAAGCTACATAACACACAAGGGCACGGGTAATAACCGGAAAAGCATGACATGGGACCATTAACAATGTTTTAACTTTGTAGAATGCCACACTCTATTTTGGCTGTCGAACTAGTTTACTTTAATTATTGGACCGTAACATAATCTACAGCAGTGGTTCTCAACCTTTTTACACCAAGTAGGCCTACCACCTGAGAAAATAGTTGGCTCTCCAAGTACCACCATATGACCAATGTTAAAATACAGTCTATGCACAGTTCATGCAGGACTCTGAGGCAAATGTATTCATAATAACATTATTTATTGTCAGCCAGTGTTTAATGAATAATGTAATAATCAGTTGAATCCTTTCATCAAAGTTCTTTCAAAAACAAAATGTGAGTTTATAATATATAATGTTATTTGAGAAACAAGGTAATTAATGTTCTGACTAGATCTGTGTGTGTTCTCCCCTCTATCGAGGCCTACTAACTAAATCATTGCAGCATAACCGTGAGAACATAAATGTTCAAACCTGTATCTGGAAACTGGTTTCTGTGGTTTCTAAATTTGTTGTCGATTTCAAAGAAAGGTTTCAGTGGCATGTGTCGAGAATCTCCACATCAAACAATAACGGTGTTGGTGGTCTTTACTCGTTATATCAATGCAACTAAAGCTCACTTACTGTTACCAAGTCTTATCCACAAATAAGGGGGACAAAAACAAATTAGGTCTACCCGTACAGTGCATGTCCAGGAATCCTGCAGTCAGAGGGAAATATTGGGAAGGCTCTAAAACCAGCGCCAATATCATGTAGAAAGCCGACACTCATACTGCAAGACAGAAGCACACAGGAGCTACTGTAAAACAGCTAAAGATAACAAAAAAAGGGAGCTTGAAAATAACAAACCAAGAAAGAGTAACTACACTTAGAACAAACAGGGAGAACATCGGGGTAGAAGAGGATTAAAGTAGTGACGAGCACTGTGGCGAACCACACCAGGGAACATTAATGACGCACTGAAGGAGAACAGTTGGAAAGCAAGTTTATTTATACAGCACCTTTCAGCACACAGCAACCCAAAGTGCTTTACAAAATGAAATAAAAGACATTTAAAAACAAATACAGTGGAAGCACATTAACAATCACATAAAGTGGGAAACCACATAAACAGGAAGCCAATGAAACAAGGTGAGTGATTTTTATAAAAAAAAACAGGAAACAGAAACGCCAAAGTCATGAAATAACCCCAGGATAAAATACCTCCAAATCACAAGCACAATAGCTTGGTACCACTAAGAAATAAGGAGAGTTATAGGTGCCAAACAACATAATATAAAAAACGTATATATGCAGAGGGCAGTTGCCGGATATCTAGTTTGTAATGCGGGCTTGAATGAAGTGTTTTGTATTCTTTATAAAGAGGACATTTACATACATTTTTATCTTTTAATTATTAGAATTTACTTTCTTACAAGACATGATATCCTTAGTTATTAATGTCATTAAGTGACAGGTTGGGCCTTTTAAGAAATCTTCATATTCGAGTAAACATTTGCACTGCATATTGATTTTGTTTATTTTTTCAATATCCTTCCAATCTGCCTGTAACATTAGATTAATTAATGTCTGTCTGGAAACATTGAACATTAAGTGTGGCTGTGCAGATCATTTAAGCTATAAAGATATGTGCACATTTTGATGAATGCAGTCGCATCACTTGGTCATGTCCCCAAAATGTTAGCTTTTAATATAGAACAAGGTCAATTTAAGATTATATTTATCATAAATGTCATTTGTATAGAGCCAAATTAAAAAGGACTTTACTAAATTAACATATACCTTGTACTCGTGTCTGTGGATAGATTTTGTCCAGTAGCCATGGTCCCGACTCCAGTTTCGGCTCCAGTACTGGCTCTCCGGCCGACGCCAGCTCCCCGTGTCTTGTCGGCGTACCGGCCAACTCCAGCCCCTCGTCTCCTGTCGGCGTACCGGCCGACGCCAGCTCTCCATGTCCTGTTGGCGTACCGGCCGACTCCAGCTCCCCGTCTCCGGTTGGCTCTCTGTCCGGCGCCAACCCCCCGTGTTCTGTCGGCGTACCGACCGTCTCAAGTCTTCTCTCAAGTCTTCTCTCAAGTCTTCTCTCAAGTCCCTTCTGAAGTCCCCTCTCGAGTCCTCTCTCAAGTCCTTTCTCGAGTCCCTTATCAAGTTCCCTTTCAAGTCACCTCTCGAGTCTCCTCTCGAGTCTCCTCTCGAGTGTCCTCTCGAGTCTCCTCTCAAATTCCTTCTCAAGTCCCCTCTCAAGTCTCTTCTCGAGTTCCCTCTCAAGTGACTTCTCGAGTTCCCTCTCAAGTGACCTCTCGAGTTCCCTCTCAAGTCCCTTCTCTAGTCCCTACTCTATGTCCTGTGCCGTTGGGGGTCCCGCCGACTACTGTTGTGCCGGGGGTCCTGCCAACCCCATGTCCTATTCTGTTGGGGGTCCCGCCGACTACTGTTCTGCCGGGGGTCCTGCCAACCCCATGTCCTGTTCTGTTGGGGTCCCGCCGACTACTGTTCTGCCGGGGGTCCTGCCAACCCCATGTCCTGGGGTTATGTCAGGATTTGAGTTTTGTATGTCTAGTTTTGGGTTTATTTTGCTGTTCTGTTCTCCCTGTCTCATGTTTTCCTCGTTTCTTGTCTGGTCCTTCTCCCTGTGTTTTCCTTCGTGTCGTTAGTTTCCCTAGTGTGTCTGATTGTCTAATTGTGTTCACCTGTTGCCCAAAATACATTTCTGACACACAGCCATGCTGTCTGACCTCCTGCTAAATTATGAACCATCCAGATCTCTCAGGTCTTCAGGGACTGGTCAGCTTTCTGTCCCCAGAGTCAGAACTAAACATGGTAAAGCAGCGTTCAGTTATTATGCTCCAAATATCTGGAACAAACTCCCAGAAACCTGCAGGTCTGCTGCAACTCTGAATACTTTTAAATACAAACTGAAGACTTTTCTTTTTGTCGCTGATTTTAATTGAACTATTCATATCTTAGACTGCACTGTAACTTTTATCCATGTATTTTTTCTTTTAATGTTTATTTTATTAGCTTTTCTTTTTAATGACTGATTTTAAATGCCATTTTCTTAATGTCTTTCATTTTTTGTAAAGCACTTTGAATTGCCTTGTGTTGAAAAGTGCTATATAAATAAACTTGCCTTGTGTTTCTACCTCCCCTGCCCAGCTGTTTCTTGTCCCGTGATTACCGCTCTCTGTATTTAGTCTTGTCTCTTCCTGTGTTGCCCCTGTCGGTTCATTGTTTGTCTTCCCTTCACGCTTCATGTTTGTCTCTCCGGTCTTCCTCCATGTTTCTCACGGTCAGTTTTTGTGTTGTTGTTTTCTGTGCTACCGTTTCGAGTTATGCCATGTTTTGTTTATCAGCTTTTAAATAAAGCTCGCTTTTTGTTTCAAGACCTTTTTCAGTTTTTGTAGTCTGCATTTGGGTCCTACCTTTTCCACAAATCGTAACAATATGTGCGGAGGATTCCTGATCAGCGAAGACTTTGTGCTCACTGCTGCGCACTGTAGCGCCGAGTGAGTATAACCTTTATCCACTATCTTTGAATCATTCAATTAGAAAGCTATTTGAAAAGTCTTCAAGATACATTAACCACCTTTTATTTGTAAATATTATCTTCAATATTGAATATTATCTTTCATTGAGGGAACCGGACAGGGTCGTTGTTGGCACTCACGATCTCAGCAAAGTTGGTGAAGAAAATGTAAGAATCATTGAAAAGAGATATAAACACCGATCCTATTACCAAGTAGACAAAGGTAATGACATCATGCTTCTCAAAGTAAGTACACATTTTTTTTGGATCAAATTAGTAATTTAACTTTCAGCTTCATATTCAGCCATTTTTTGTTGCATTGAAGTCTGAAGAATAAAAAAGTATTATCTTATATTACAGACATTGCTAGTTTTGTGAGATTTACTTTGAGATTTTGTTCCTCTCCAGTTGAAGAAGAAAGTTGCCGGGAACAAAAAACAAATCATTGCCCTTCCTCCTTCTAATATGCACAATCAAGAAAAGAAAACCTGCCATGTAGCTGGATGGGGTTTCATAAAGACTGGTCGTGGAGTTGTTGATAGGCTGATGATGGTGGATGTGTCAGTCATAAACCTGAACGCATGCTCTAAGTCAGGGGTGTCAAACTCAATTTCATCGCGGGCCACATCAGCATTATGGTTGCGCTCAAAGGGCCGGTTGTGGCTTTAAGACTTTATAAATATACATATATAAATATATAATATTGTGGTGGCACGTTATTGGACATAATTCACCTTCAGGCTTGTGTTGCAACACGGACCCGTTAAGAGTGTGACACCGGAAGTTAGATTCATTCAGGCTAGCATGACATGCAGTAGCAACAAGTGTATTCCAGTCTTGTGTTTGAATGTATAATAAAGTGTGGAGTTCCATACTGAACACACCGCCTCCGACTCCCATTCATCGGCTCTACACTGGTGACCCCGACTTTTCCGAGAAGGTTTCCGGAAAATTAACGAACATGGCTGAGCGCGATGTTTTCGTAAAGCTGCCGGAGTTTTGGGAGAATGCCGCAGCGCGTGGTTTGCACACGTGGAGGCGCACTTCTCTGCCGACAGGTCCGTGACGGGGACCTGAAATACTACCACGTTGTAGCAGTGGTAGGAGGCTCCACGTCGTCCAGGTTGGTTGGTTTTATCACAGACCCCCCACACCATGGCAAATATGAGGCGATTAAGGCCCTCCTCCTTAAGACATTTAGCTTATCTGCTAAGGAGAGGGCCCGCCAGTTACTTGACATTCAGGGCCTAGGAGACAGCAAGCCATCTCAGCTAATGGAGAAAATGCTAAATCTGCTAGGGGGGAAGATCCCCGGATTTTATTCACGGAGATTTTCCTGCGTCAATTGCCTCCCCAGGTCCAGACGGCGCTGGCCAACACGCCTGTCACGGAGCCCCGTGTCTTGGCTGAGGAAGCGGATCGTTTTTTCCTGGCTACACAACAGCCCGGTGCAGAGACGTTATCCGCGACGCTCAGCGGCCCATATGCAGTCAAGAAAGCGTGGCGGGGGCAGGACACGGCTGTATCGAGCCGGCGTGGAGACACCGGAGAGTGCTTTTACCACGCATTTTTCGGGACAATGGCGAAGAAATGCATCGATCCGTGCAGCTACAAACCCCCGGGAAACGGAGGGGCCGGCACTCAGTAGTGGCCCTGAGCGTCGGCGGCACGTGCAGGCTCCTCTTCGTCAGCGACAGCGTTTCGGGGAGCCTGTTTCTGTGTGACACGGGCGCTCAACGGAGCGTAGTTCCCGCGTCGAGTGAAGACGTCACCCGGCGGTCCCATTCGCACGTACGGCGTGAGGACTATGTATTTGTGCATCGGAGGACCGCGTTTCAGCTGGGATTTTGTGACAGCGGACATTTATTTTCCCCTCCAAGGAGCGGATTTATCCGGTGCCGCACATTCAGGACTTTTCGGCGCATCTGGCCGGTACGGGGGTGTTTTCCAAGGTGGACCTGGTGCGTTGATACCACCAGGTGCCCATGCACCCCCTGGACATTCCCAAGACGGCAGTGATAACACCTTTTGGACTTTTTGAGTTCCTGCGGATGCCTTTTGGGCTAAAGAATGCCGCTCAGACGTTCCAGCGCCTGATGGATTCGGTGCTGCGGGACCTGCTGTTTGTGTTTGTCTACCTCGACAGAGGCTCACAGTTCACGTCCGAGCTCTGGAACGCCGTGGCGAGTGGTTTGGGGGTTAAGCTGCACAAGACTACCGCTTATCACCCTCAGGCTAACGGCCTCTGTGAGCGGTTCCATCGCTCCATGAAGGCGGCCCTCAAGGCCGGCCTTACGGACGGGAATTGGGTCGACAAGCTGCCCTGGGTGATGGGCCTGAGGACTGCACCTAAAGAAGACCTGCAGTGCTCTACGGCTGAGATGGTATACGGTCAGCCGCTGAGGGTTCCTGGGGATTTCCTCCCTAATGCATCGGCTCCCTGGTCGGCGTCAGCCCAGCGGGTTTTCCTGCAGGACGCCGCTGAGGCCTTTGCTCCGATCCCTACTACTCAGCGTGGTACTCAGGTGTCCCGGGTTCCCGCAGAGCTCCGCTTGGCACGGGGCACGTGTTCATCCGGCACGATGCGCACAGAGGCCCCCTGCAGCCCCCTTTCCGGGTCTTGGAGCACGGGGACAAGCACCTGGTGGTCGACCTGGGTGGCAAGGCCGAGCACGTCTCGGTGGACCGGGTGAAGGCTGCTCACCTGGACTTAGACCAGCCGGTGGTGCTGGCTCGACCTCCGCGACGGGGCCGCCCCCCGGCCTCGACCCCGGTCACAGATTTAAGACCTGTTGTTCCGGTCCCTCACCTTCCGGAGGCCGCACAGGCGGAAGTCACTTTTCCGGACTCCCGTGCTCAGGAGTCGTGGGGGTCGGCGTGTCGTTCCTCCCCGCCATGCTGATTTTGTTTATGTGTGAATTCTGGGGGGGCTTGTGTGGTGACACGTTATTGGACATAATTCACCTTCAGGCTTGTGTTGCAACACGGACCCGTTAGAGTGGGACACCGGAAGTTAGATTCATGCAGGCTAGCATGACATGCAGCAGCAAGTGTATTCCAGTCTTGTGTTTGAATTAGGGCCGGGACTCGATTAAAAAAATTAATCTAATTAATTAGAGGCTTTGTAATTAATTAATCGAAATTAATCGCATTTTTAATCACATATACATATTTGACCTGAGAACAGTGAGAAGCAATTTTTTTCACATGGATTTTAGTATACCATTAGGCGCATTCACACCGCAGTACTTTTCCCACAAAGGTTCATGAGAACTCTTTGAACCTGGGGGAGGATTAGGCAAATGAAGCCGCTGACGTCACTTCTTCTTCTTCTGCTTTGGGTTTACTGGCAGGCCGCAAACCACTTCACGGCGTATACTGCCGCCCAAAGTCCCCGGAGTTGGGGACTGGCTTCAGTAGAAGCTGCTGGGAGTCCCAGCAGCTTCTACTGAAGCCTTCCGAGTAAATTGCCAGAACGCCGACACCTCCTCATCTCCACCGCTCCCATGTTTTATTTTGTGTTGCCATAAGTTAGTCTCTCTGCGTTTCTGCGCTGGGCTAATGCTAATAATGCTAATGCGAGGATAATAAAATGGCGGCTTCACAAAACTTTTTGGGAGTTTTACGGGGTGTGGTTTGCAATCCGCCCAGCCAATCAGACATATAGCTCTTTTCTCACAAGAGAGCCGTACGAAAGTCCCTGCTCTCTAGCAGGGACTTTCGTGGGGGTAAAAAGGTTCTCATGAACTAATTTTAGTACCGGCTCTTTTTGGTGTGAACGCGATAAAAGAGGCTAACGTCCACGCTAGCTTCCACGCTAGCTGCTATATGTTTTGCATTGAGGTGATACTTGAGGCTTGATGTGCTGCGGTGTTATGCGAATTCCTTTTTGCATAATTTGCACACAACCGTGCTCTTATCGACGCTTCCATCCGTCCGTTTTTTAAAACAACATTTCCCACTGTGGGTTGTTGTTGTCTGAAGTCATGAACGTTAGTTGGTGCTCCAGTATAATCGGTACGCCTGAAACTCATCCAGTGAGAAACGTTCCGCGGTGCAAAAATAAGTGCGATTAAAATGCGTTAATTTTTTTAACGCGTTAATTTTTGTGTAATTAATTCATCTTAATTAACGCGTTAAAGTCCCGGCCCTTGTTTGAATGTATAATAATGTGTGGAGTTCCATACTGAACACACCGCCTCCGACTCCCATTCATCGGCTCTACAATATATACAAAATAATGTATAATACATCATTTCCTGTGCATTGGATTATTATCGGATAGGGTAAAAACTTCATAATTAACTACGTCTGAAAGCAGAAGTTTAGGGTAAATAATTGCAAGTCTCTTCAGTGCGCATGTCACAAAACAAGATGCATTGTGGGACATGTAGTTTATGGGCAACGTGCTCCTGTAAAGTGAAGTGTAACCGTATAATAAACGTATTATATTCTTTGCATGCTCTTGCGGGCCACATTAAATGAAGTCGCGGACCGGATTTGGCCCCCGGGCCTTGAGTTTGACACCCCTGCTCCAAGTCATGGGGTGGTATTCCTTCCGATGTTATCTGTGCCGGCGGTTATGGCAGCCACAAAGGCTTCTGTCAGGTATGATTTCACTTTGTTGATGTAAAATGTAAGCTAGTATAAAAATGCTTTAAAAATCTTAAATAAAATAATGAATAATATTCCTTGTTGACAGGGTGATTCTGGTGGTCCTCTGGTGTGTGACGGGATAGCTGTTGGTGTTGTGTCTTTCAACAACAACAAAATCTGTACCCAAATTATCCCAACGTCTACACAGAGATCTCCAAATACCTTGGCTGGATCAACAGTTAAAAAGCTTAATATTATGCAATATCATAAAGCTTTGCTTCAGCACACTTTGAATGTATTTAGGAGGGGAGGCTGTGTCTCAGCTGCTCTGTCAGTGTTCGCTCAATGTTGTTTTCTCTTTTCTTTATCCGAACACATGAGGTTTGAATCACTTATAGGAAAACGTTTTACTTCAGCAAACATTCATTGTAATATGGAGGCTTTGTGGTGTCACAGATTGGTCTATCAAGGTTTATTTCATCAGTATACATTCATTTTGTATGTTTAAATAATCATAATGAGATCCTGCACTTGGAGAGGTTGAGCATGTGACGTCACCATAGTTTCAATGTCGGATTAACAGTATCAGAAATCTAACTCAGCTGAAATTGTTTTACATGCTTTTATTACTAGTCGCTTGGACTACTGCAATTCTCGTGGTCTCCAAAAAAAATCTTTAAAGAAATTGCAATTAATTCAGAATGCTGCGGCCAGGATTTTAACAAACACAGAAAAAAGGGATCGCATTTTCCCTGTGCTGGCATCACTGCACTGGTTACCGGTGTCTTTCCGAGTTGATTTTAAAATGCTTTTAATTATTTACAAGGCTTTACATAACCTGGGCCCTACACACGTCAGGGACTGCCTTTCTTTTTATAACCCAACAAGGACACGCGGATCCTCCGATGCATTTCTTTTAGAAGTACCTAAAGTAATACACAATACATCTGGGGAGGCTGCTTTATGTTTTTCCCATTGGATCTTAGAACAGCAAACTCCATTAGAGTTTTTAAAAGTAAATTGAAGACCTATCTTTTAATTTGGAGTAATTTTAGAGGTATAACAGTTTATGTTGTATTGTTTTATGGTTCTGTGATATAACTCTTTCTTGTTTGTTTATAACTTGTTTTTAATTATGTTCCTCCTTTTTATTTTGTATCTGTAAAGCACCTTAGGCTGCATCTTGCATTAAAGGTTCTATAATAATAATAATAATAATAATAATAATGCATTTTATTTTAAGATTGCTTATCTAGAAACTCAAATACACTTACACAGTAAAGCAATAGGGTTTTATGCAAATGTATTATCTTGGCATGATAAAAAAAAAAGGTATCCATTGAGCTGTAGGGGAGAAGAGAGGGGAGGCAATCTTACTTCTCAGTACAGCAACCGTACCTAATGTGAAAGGCACAAAGGTTCATCAACATATATTTCAATATATTATCATAAGTTAAACTGTTCATTATGTAGACACTCCATTCTAAAATATTGTATATATCATCAATATTTGATTTGAACTATAGCCTTTTTGTATTTGTTTATTCCACTTATGGCAATTATTATAAAACAAAACATGTACTCTTTACACAGTTTTTGTAGGCCATGATGGAAAGGAGCAGGGAGAAAATAAATCTAAATGTTTTCAATCAACTTGTTGACGATGGTAAAGGTGGCGAATACATTTTTAAGAACAAACAATAAAAAGGTCAGATTAAAGTAGTACTAGTCTCTTATTGCTCTCTTATTGTCGTTTGAGGTGCAGAGAATGTGACCAGCAACAACACCAGACAGTGTCAAGGGTTTGCATGAGGCCTTTAGTATCCAGTCAAAATGTGTTTTATAGCACCGATACATCTGTAGCTGTTAAACAATGATAAAATCATTGAGCTCTAGTTTCATAACTGCTAGTGTGGGAACGTCACTACTCAAATCTTTAGTTGGAAACTGTGGTGTCTGTGGTTCATCTAGATTGAAACGCTATGCAAAGAAATGTATGGGTTGTATCAGATAAATCAGCTAATTTTTTTTCTCTTTGGCTGAATGTCCAAAAAGTATGAATTAATTAAAAAAATAGCGTGAATAAAAATGTCAGATACAGAATGAAGTTAGATTATAGCAGATAAAAGAAATTCAACCTATTGATTTAAACAAACAAAAAAAGCTGTTTTTATGCAAACAAATTACACTTCAAAAGAGTGAAAGCTCCTAAGAACGTATCTAATCTATAATACATTTTGGTAAGACACTGACTAATGAGCCACAATGCTCTTTTATATTATTTGTCAGTCAGCGTTGACATGTTTTCACAGAATGATCTTCACACTTGACTGTGATAATACTGACACTCAGACTTTGAGATGGAAACTGGTTACAGCAACTCATTTTATTTATGGTGCAACATCGCAGTAATAAAAAGACAACAGCCCAAATGTGAAAGCTGAAATGTAGATCCATACCAAACAATTTTGATTATTTTTCACATATTTCATCCAACTTAATGTGACTAAAGGTTATTTAGCCACATTAAGGATAAGTATTATCCAAACAGTGACAAGAATATCCCAGAATTTTCAGAAAAAACACGATACTTGATATTTAAATAGATAAAAAAGGATCACTTCAAGCAAATTACATCAAATGTTGTCGAGAATAAATTGTTGACCATGTGAAAACTCAGCCACGCTGTTCACATAATTCATGTGCTTCAGGCTGTGGAGGCCGCAGAACCACAGGCCTTATAGATACTGAAACATCTGCAACACTTCATGAGTTGTCATTTCTTTACTAACACAATTAAAGTTTGCACAGAGTCGCTGACTGAGGGAACTGGTTTATCAAAGGGTCGACACGACACCCAAAGACAACAGGTTCAGTTTGCTGCAACTTCTTACAACTCTTGGACTTCATGGTAAGATTCCCACATGTCTCTTTACTACAAATGCAGTATTAACTCATCCTTCTTTTCAGCACTTGGTAGTGAAATCATAAATGGTGAAAAGGTCCCGGAGAACAAAATGCAGTTTATGGCCTCGGTTCAGAACAGCAGAAACAAAGATATCTGTGGAGGATTCCTCATCAATTATGACTTTGTGGTCACTGGTCACGTCACTGTACCCAGCAAGAAAAAAATGGAAAAATAAAAATCTCCAACGAGGCGTTCTGGGGCAGCCTAGACAGGTCTTTTCTGTGTTCGAGTTTTACTCGCTACAGGGTGTACTTTGAGGGTTTGTGACTTTGCAGACGGTTTACATGCAGAACAAGCTACATAACACACAAGGGGACGGGTAATAACCGGAAAAGCATGACATGGGACCATTAACAATGTTTTAACTTTGTAGAATGCCACACTCTATTTTGGCTGTCGAACTAGTTTACTTTAATTATTGGACCGTAACTTAATCTACAACAGTGGTTCTCAACCTTTTTACACCAAGTAGACTTCCACCTGAGAAAATAGTTGGCTCTCCAAGTACCACCATATGACCAATGTTAAAATACAGTCTATGCACAGTTCATGCAGGACTCTGAGGCAAATGTATTCATAATAACATTATTTATTGTCAGCCAGTGTTTAATGAATAATGTAACACCACTAAGAAATAAGGAGAGTTATAGGTGCCAAACAACATAATATAAAAAACGTATATATGCCGAGGGCAGTTGCCGGATATCTAGTTTGTAATGCGGGCTTGAATGAAGTGTTTCTTATTCTTTAGAAAGAGGACATTTACATACATTTTTATCTTTTAATTATTAGAATTTACTTTCTTACAAGACATGAAATCCTTAGTTATTAATGTCATTAAGTGACTAGTTGGGCCTTTTAAGAAATCTTCATATTCGAGTAAACATTTGCACTGCATATTGATTTTGTTTATTTTTTCAATATCCTTCCAATCTGCCTGTAACATTAGATTAATTAATGTCTGTCTGGAAACATTGAACATTAAGTGTGGCTGTGCAGATCATTTAAGCTATAAAGATATGTGCACATTTTGACGAATGCAGTCGCATCACTTGGTCATGTCCCCAAAATGTTAGCTTTTAATATAGAACAGGGTCAATGTAAGATTATATTTATCATAAATGTCATTTGTATAGAGCCAAATTAAAAGGACTATACATATACCTAGTAGGCCTACTCATGTGTCTGTGGATAGATGTTGTCACCTTAAGCAACCGTGTCACATGCAGTCTCAAGACTTTGCCGATATAGTTGGGATTGATATGAAGGAAGCGGCCATTCACCCCCAATTTAGATTTTACATTTAGATCATTTTTCTGTGAAATTATGATCAAAGTGATTAAATAGTATTCGTATCACAACTTTGACTGGGAGACCATGGTCGCTCAGAAGGGAAGCAGGAAACCAGTTTCTGTGGTTCAACTGTTGCAGATTTTTTTTAAAAACAACGGCAAAATGCTGACTAATGAAATATGTTAGTGCAAACTTGCAGACAAACATGTGGATGTGGTCTGAATTAAAAATAATCTATGTGTTAATCAGACAAAGTGCTGCATAAAAGGATCGAGTTAATGCCCTGAAGAACAAAGGCAAGTCAATTGTCTTACAGGCATCATGCATGCTCTACACAAACTTCTGATTTTTCAGGTCCTGACATCTCTCGGACAAAATGGTAAGACTCCGAATTCTGTTTATTATGCTTCAATCATTAACTGAAATTAACCTACAGTATGACCTTTTACTTATTTTCAGCGGATGGGAGTAAAATCATAAATGGTGAAAAGGTCCCGGAGAACGAAATGCTGTTTATGGCCTCGGTTCAGAACAGCCGCAACCAACATGACTGTGGAGGATTCCTCATCAACGAAGACTTTGTGGTCACTGCTGCACATTGTGATGATGGGTGGGTTACCTTTGCTCTTTCAATACTCAATGATTAATGTTATTGGACCAATCCAAAGAACCTTATTTTTGCAAAACATGCAGCAGCTATTAATAAACACTACTGATTGCCTCCTGATGATCATTTGCTTAGGAATCCTACAAGTGTTGTTCTTGGTACCCACAATCTCAAGAATATTAACGACACAATGAGATACAGTGTGAAGAGATGCAAGCATCAATGTTATGAGAAGGTTGAAGAGGGGTCGGACATCATGCTCCTCAAAGTAAGTAGAGTTCCAGTAATTTGATGCTCTGTTAAATTCACTTTTAGTCTCAACAAAACCGTTAAAACAAAGCATTTACATCAATACTATGAGCAGCTTCATTTTCAAGCAACTATTTTCAAGCTTGAGGTCTGATATGGGGATACGAAGTATCCTCTATCAGACCTCTGTATTTTCTAGTTTTTTTCACTCATTTTCACTTGTGATTTTGTTTCTCCAGCTGTCCAAGAAAGCTCAACTGAACCAAAGATTGCAGCCAATTTCACTTCCAGAAACTGAGACTAAGATTACAAATATAGAAACGTGCAGTGTTGCTGGATGGGGCCTAACAAGTGTTGGTGAACCTGATGAGCTGCAAATGGTGAATGTGCCCATTGTTGACCTGGATGTCTGTAAGAACGAATGGCCTAACATGCTTCCTGAAAAAGTTATCTGTGCTGGTGGATATGGCACAAATAAAGGATTCTGTCAGGTATGCTTCCTTTCCTGTCATAGGGGTATGGTCTCATTATAAAAAGGTTATTAGAAAGAAAATGAACTAATATAGCTTCTTCCTCCTCACAGGGTGATTCTGGGGGTCCTCTGGTGTGCAACGGGAAGGCAGCTGGTGTTGTGTCTTACAACTGGGGCAAGAACTGCAGATACCCAAATAGGCCCAATGTGTACACAGATGTATCACAATACCTTCCCTGGATCAGAAAGATGATGAAGGATTGTTAAATGTAACAGATCAACATACTCTTATTGCACTGTACTGGCTCCTTAAATGTCATCTCAAAACTTGAAAAATAAAAGCTTTGTTCATAACAAACATTGTTGCTTGGCAGTTCATCAATATTATATCAACATGTACATCTACATATGTTGCATCTGTTGTTCACCTTTTTCAAACACAAAGGGTCATGTATTCTCCTGAAAGTAAAGCCAGTTTCGTATCACATGTAGCTAACCGTGTTGTATGTGTTAACGTCAATCACTTAAACCTTTTTGAATTTTGTTTGTAGAATTTATAAATATGACGCAGCTTTTAGTCTTATAATTGGGTAATGTTGCACAAAGAAACTTCAAATCCACTTAAGCTGGTTTGCATTTGTCATCCAAGATGAGTTAACATGTTCACACCTGACCCTAATGAAACAAGTGTGTGTAACCCTCAACCAGTTGCAATGGTCTCAGATCTGATGCTCAAAGGACTTGTACTAAAGTAGATGTACTAAAAGTCTGCAAGTCTTTCAATTTTTTTTCGGAGGGTTAAATGGTGGCAGATTTAATTTTTTATGATTTTATTATTTCTTCAAAACTGCTTTTACGAATTTGAAATGTTTCTACCTGCGGTGTTATTAAAAATGTGCATTAATGAGTTTGTTTCCTTTGTGGCGTTATTGCTTGTCGCAGAGTTAATAATTAACAATTATGTTTTAACTTTGTAGAATAACACACTCTATTTTGCCTGTCAAAATAGTTTACTCTAATTATTGGACAGTAACATAATATTAACTACAGGGCACAGAGAGGGAGTACAGAAAAATAAATACTTCAAACACACAAGCATGACCGATGACACAGACATTTGTTTGCCTTGGACTCAGATGCACTGCAGAGGATGGATATAACAAACACTGATAGGAGTGGCGCCCACTAATGGTCAAAAAGCAGAGAAACTGTGCAGCTCTGTGGTCCGACACAGGCCTTTTCTACTGAGTATATACAGTCGAATTATGTTGTAATGAGAGCAACAGCTTGTAATATGTTTATCAAATATGACATGTGTTGGTAGTGTAACTGAATATGGATTTGTGGTGAGAAAAACAGTGAATACTGTAGTCAGATGTGTATAATGAATAATGTAATAATCAGTCAAATCCTTTCAAAAACAAAACATGTGAGTTTATAATATATAATGTTACATGAGAAACAAGGTAATTAATGGCCTAACTAGATATGTGTTTGTTCTGCCCTGCAACGAGGCCTACTAACTAAATCATTGCAGCATAACCGTGAGAACATAAATGTTCAAACCTGTATCTGCTGGTTTCTGTGGTTTCTGTGGTTTCTTAGTTTGTTGTCGATTTCAAAGAAAGGTTTCAGTGGCATGTGTCGAGAATCTCCACCTCAAACAATGACGGTGTTGGTGGTCTTTACTCGTTAGATCAATGCAACTAAAGCTCACTTACTGTTACCAAGTCTTATCCACAAATAGGGGGACAAAAACAGGCCTACCAGTACAGGAGAGCATGTCCAGGAAACCCGCAGTCGGAGGAGAATATTGGGAAGGCTCTAAAACCAGCACCAATATCATGTAGAAAGCCGACAGTCATACTGCAAGACAGAAGCACACGGGAGCTAAAACAGCGAAAAAGCATGAAATACAAATAAAACATCTCCACACTGTACCAAACCACCTGTAAGACTGTGACAGCCCAGATAGTCCTGTAAGTGGAAAACAGTGGGCCTAACCAAAACTTTAAATAAGAGGTCTGTCTTTACTGTAGCTTTAAAGAAAATGACATAAAAGTAAAACAACTATAACATGTCACAGGTAGGCAAGCAGGTAAAGATAACAAAAAAAGGGAGCTTAAAAAAGAAAAAACAAAATTTAGAAAAAACAGGGAGAACATCAACGGGGTAGAAGAGGATTAAAGTAGTGAACCTTGAAAACGAGATGGTGCATCTCAAGGGGTTTATCCCAATCAATAAAAATGTCTATATATATAGTGACGAGCACTGTGGCGAACCACACCAGGGAACATTAACGACGCACTGAAGCAGAACAGTTGAAAACAGACAGGTATAGATGCACTCAGAACTAATCACCACAACAAGACACAGCTGCTATATGCAGGCTAAAACACAGGAGCAGCAGGGTGATCACACACACAGGTGGATCCAATCAGGACGAGGCCAACAATCACATAAAGTGGGAAACCACATAAACAGGAAGTCAATGAAACAAGGTTAGTGATTTTTACAAATAAAACAGGAAACAGAAACGCCAAGGTCATGAAATAACCCCAGGATAAAATATCTCCAAATCACAAACACAATGGGTGTTTCTCAATGTCGAGGACGCTTCCTTGGTAGGACATGTCCCTCCAAGTCACTGCCAAGCACTTCGAGATTTGTCTTGGCAGATGAGAAGCGCTATATAAATTAAATGTATTATTATTATTAAGTCAGGTCCTTCAGAAGCGAGGCAAGAATCCTTCCTAGCCTCGGAAAACGAAGAATGGTGGAACAGGCTAACAGGTGTGCAGGTGTGCGTCATATGCGAGGCCCCGCCTTAACTGGAGCGTGATATCCGCCAAAGATTTGGAAATTGGTCTGTGCGCAAAGAATTGTGGGGATTTTAAGACCACGGAGGATACACATGTGCAGCCTCGAAATGTCCCCGTGCCAACCAGCATAATATTAAAAACGTATATATGCCGAGGGCAGTTGCCGGATATCTAGTTTGTAATGCGGGCTTGAATGAAGTGTTTTTTATTCTTTAGAAAGAGGACATTTACATACATTTTTATCTTTTAATTATTAGAATTTAATTTCTTACAAGACATGAAATCCTTAGTTATTAATGTCATTAAGTGACTGGTTGGGCCTTTTAAGAAATCTTCATATTCGAGTAAAGGCCTAACATTTGCACTGCATATTGATTTTGTTTATTTTTTCAATATCCTTGCTAAATGGGGCAGCCTGCGAGCTAGTTCAGGCAGTCAACTCGAGCACTTATTCTGCATTCATACATAACGCCCCGTGCCACTCTACAACCAACCAAACAGAGTCTCTTTAATATGCCGCTCTATTTAACCTGCCACTGGCATTGCCAGATCTCTCTCCATGCATTGCTTGCTGCTGCTATTGCTGCAGCTACTTCCACGTCGCTGCTGCTTGCCTGCCCCACCACCACCCCAGCTTCCACCCCAGCTTCCACCTGTAGGCTCGGGGGGTTAGTTATTTAATCATCACTCATCGTGCTATGTATATCTGTGGAGTGATGATGCCCGAGCCTAGTCGCCAAACTCAACTATATGCTGCTTCTAAATACATGTTAAAGAAACACATGAGTTGTCTGACTGAACTGTTTTGCTTGGTTGCCAATCTGCCTGTAACATTAGATTAATTAATGTCTGTCTGGAAACATTGAACATTAAGTGTGGCTGTGCAGATCATTTAAGCTATAAAGATATGTGCACATTTTGACGAATGCAGTCGCATCACTTGGTCATGTCCCCAAAATGTTAGCTTTTAATATAGAACAGGGTCAATGTAAGATTATATTTATCATAAATGTCATTTGTATAGAGCCAAATTAAAAGGACTATACATATACCTAGTAGGCCTACTCATGTGTCTGTGGTTCTCATTCATAACACTCCGTTCGATGTCTCACTATGGGATGCGCCTCATCGCGGAGCAAACAGAAGCATCAATCTCATTACGCCAATCCTGATTGGCTGGTGATCTTGACGTCAGCGTCAGGGAATCACCCCCTATAAGTAGCTTGCGCCACGACGCATGCATCATTCAAACACCTCTTCTCGCTTCAGAGCACATCTCTATAGTAGCCGGACAAGCTTAACGGTCCACAGACTGAACCCAAATATAACCATTTCGGTCGACGGGCGCTCGCCGGCTACTCCTTCTGCTTCGCAAGAAGACGGTAATACTAACGCCAGTTAGTATTAAAATCGACCTCGCCGTTCTTTCCCCGGAAAGTAAGGTAAGGTTTTGATTTTTCTCAAGCTAGCTACGCACCCGTTGCTAGCTAGCTTCCCCTTACTACCGACACCACGGTAGCGAGGACGCTTTTCTTTTTCTCTCTCACGGAGGAGAAAAGGATTAGAAGTATATTGACACACCAGTCAATATTCTTTGAGAACAAAGGACCCACACCGTCCCCTTTTTCTCCGGATTAAGGACGGGTTGGTGACACTTTTTCTCTCAACGACGTACCTGTTACGAACGGGTCCTCTCCACGCCACGAGACGAAAAAGATGGACGCCTCTCCCCCTCACACCAGAGGAGTCAGGGACTCGAAGGCTCGGTCATGCGGCTGCGGGTTGAAGATAGCAGGCACAGACTCACACCAGGTCTGCCCGTCCTGCCTCGGGCTGAAACACGCCCAGGAGGCTATCGACAACCCCGGCTCGTGCGGGCATTGCGCCCTTTTCACCCGAAATAGCCTCCACCGACGGCTAGCACACCAAGCTAGCTTGTTGGAACAGGACTGCCTCATGTCCACTGATTCGCTGTTTGGCAATCAAGACACGGGGGCGTCTGCTGCAGAGACTGACTCCCTCACTATGTCGGTCTGGGGCTCACTAACAGCGGCAGCTGCGGAACCGGGATCCCACGCCGTGTCAGGCCGGGACCCGGTGGCGGCAAGAGACGCGGGAACGGAGCCCCACGCCTCACCAGGCGGGAGCTCCCGGCGAGACCTCACCATGGTCTCACCCGCGGGGAATGTCCTGGAATTAGACTACATGGGGGACAAAGAGGACACCTCTGAGTCCCTCCTGTCTGATTCGTATGAGCAAGAAGAATATATCTTCATGTCATCGGCTCAAACGGCAAAGCCGGGAGCGATGGCTGCTCTCCCGGGCGATAGCACACCAGCTTCGCCCTGTCTGAGCAGGGACCTGCAGGCCGCGTATCAGCGCGCTGCGTCCAGGCTGGACATCCCGTGGCCCGAAAGGGCCAAGGAGACCGCCAGGTCCCGTTACGAGGGGAAACATTCTCCCCAAGCAACGAGGACAAGGAGGCAACTCCTCCCGGTCTTCCCGGAGATGTTGGATGAGGTGTCGGTCTCGTGGA